GGGCCTGCTGTCCGGAACCCACGTCCCACAAGGGACTGAGAGTGGGCTGGAGGGCCTGAAGGCTGTGGGTAGAGAGGGAGTGCCTGACTCAGCGATTTTAGGAGTGGAGCAGTTCCAGGGTGATATGGCCTTGGGCAGCCATTGGTGGGGGTGGCTGAAATGGAGGGCAGAGAAGCGGGTCACTGGAGATGACGAGGTCATAGTCTGAGTAGCCACAGATTCAGACAGGCTGACACGTGGCTGCTGAGCTCTTCCTGAGTGAGGGCAGGAGTAAGGGGACGGGAAGATTGTAAGCCACAATCACCCATGAATGGAAGGGGTGGAAAGTGACAGCCTGCCATAGGATAGTGCTTGGCTGCTTTAAGCATACTTGGTGCTTGCAGCCAACCTCCAGCAAAGAGCTGGCGGCTGTGCAGCCTCAGTTACGCTCAGAACTGTCTCTGGTTTCATGGCCTGGCAGGCTGGGACCAAGCCTCTCAGGGCATCAAGACAGGCCAGGGCCTGGCTACATAGGCAGATGGCCAAGCGGGCAGCGGGATGAAAGACATCTGCTCTCTGACCGCTGTCATGGGATCAGGTTAGGCCTCCTCTGGCCAGCCTAGCTGGCAAGAACAGAACATTCACCAGGAAACTGAAGGAACCTTGTGCAGACAAGGTGAAGTCTGGGCTTTGGCAATAAATGTACTGTTTCCTTGTATGGCTTCAGTTCTGGCCTTGGGGCAAGGGGCACGCAAAGTGCTGTGGTGTGATTCCCAATGCAGCAACACAAGACACACCCCATCTCTTGGCCTCCTGCCCCAGTAGGGCCATATCAGCTATACCTTGACTGGGCCTAGGGCAGGGACCATGGGCCCAGCCAAGACAGCAGGGAGGCCCAAGAGAAAGAAGCCTGTGGCCAGGAGAGAGCCTGATTCCCAGCCTGGGTGGGTCCCCTGAGCCCTTTAGGTGACCCAGCCTGTGGCCCCTGAGGATGGAGCCCTTCTGGCTACAGCCCCCACTTGAGCAAGTGGATCTTGAGTAGTGGCTATTCCTGGCTGGGGCAGAGGAAGAATCAGGCCAGGCAGCAAGAATTTAGCCCTGTTCCTTCAGGCACAAGCAGGGCAGGTGTGCCAGGTCCTAAGGAGCAGAGAGAGGGCACCGTAATCAGGGAATGGTAAAAGCTAGATGGTATCCAGAGAATGCCTGGAAATACTTCCCTAAAACACACATTTCACACTCTTCCAACTCAGAACACACTCATTATAACTCAGCCACCAAACATGCTTCTGCTCACCACTGTGTGAGGCAGCCACCTGGACAGGGGCTATCTCTTTGTCCACCTGGCCTTGGCTCATGACTCCTGCAGAGGGGGCTCTCTACCTTCCTGTTTCCATAGGTAAACCTGGCAAGCAGAGGCTGCCTTGAACAAGTGCCCTCCACTAGCCCGCAGGTCCCAGGTCTATTCCTCTTTCAGCATCTCCAGGAACTTAGTGGAGGCAGGGCTATACCCGGGGGTTAGACGATGGGGAAACTGGGCAGCCAAGGATCATAAGCACAGCGGCCTGGCCAGAACTTGGAAAGGTAGCCAAGTATTCAGCACCCTGACCATCCTTTCTCCCTGAAACCCAAGGCCAAGGTCAGAAAAGAGGAAGAATGGGCTTCAGCCCAAACAGGAGCAGAAAGCCTGAATTATACATCCCAAGAACCTGGCTCTTCAGAGCTCTGTCCATCCCCTGACCTCTGACCCTGGCATGGAGGGGTGGGGGGCCCTGTGAGTGTTCAGTGTGGGTGCTGTAGGGTGAGTGAGAAAAAGGTCTTCCCACCCCAATCTCTGTAATGCCAAAGGTGCAGGGAAAGGTGCTTCATCCAGCACGACAGTGTAGGACATTCGACTGCCCACCAGATTCCCAGCCATCAGTGAAGTGGCTGATGACCCCCCTCTATGGGTGGTGGTCTGGAGGTCCAGAGTTGTTGAATGACCAGCCCAGCCATACAGCCAGGAGCAGCTGGCCAAAGTGCATGCTGGGTCAGGTCCATCATGTACAGCTGTCTCACTTAGAGTGTGTGTGTGTATGTGTGAAAGCTGTCTCACCTAGTGTGCGTGTGTGTGTGTGTGTGACAGCTGTCTCACCTAGTGTGCGTGCGTGTGTGTATGTGTGAAAGCTGTCTCACCTAGTGTGCGTACGTGTGTGTGTGTATGGGGGGTATTATAGGGCGCACTCACGTAATAAAGTCCAGGAAGCTGGCGAGTGGCTCGTAGGCATGGTTCCTCATGTGGCGGAACTCTACCACCATCTTCTCCTTGAGCCGGTCATCGATGACTGACACTGTCAGTGGTGATGCCTCATTGGCAAGGAAGTTACCGTAGTCAGTGCTCTGCAGGTGCAGCTTCAGGTCTGAAACCCAAGGGTGGAGGTGAGGGCTGGCCATGCTGAGCTTCCCCAGGGCCCCAAGTTCCTATCCCCTGTGGAGTTGTATCCTGCTGCTACCTGACCTCCTGTCCCCCTCCCTGTTGGCTCAGGGCCTACTCCAAAGCAGTCAGCCAAGGCCCAAGAGATGCCCCGATCCTTGGGCCTCGAGCCAGTACATTGTCCAAGCAGAGTACAGAGTCTAAGCATAAGCAGAACTGTTGTTCCTCCGAATGACAAGGCCTGGGAAACCCCAACCCAAGGTGCCATTCGCAAGCCTTTGAAGCCCTTCTGCCTGGTGGGCTCTAGAATGGCCCTAACCTAGAGCAGAATAAGACAGAGGCCCTGCTTTCCAGGGCCTCAGGGCAAACAGAGCAAGCCAACATACCCCCAGGCAGAAATGACAGATAGGAAATAAAGGAAATGCCACAAGCCATGGAAGTAGAGTGGAGAGGGCAGCGAGAAATGGCTGAGAGGATGAGAGAGCATATTGGGCGGGCCATAGTAGAGGGCAGGGACAGGAAAACATACAAAGATAAACAGCCAGAAGGATGGCCGTAAGTGACAGGTGGCCGAGAGGGCAAATGAATGGTGTGAGGGGAAGAAGAGGCTGAGAGAAGAATGGCCTTGCTCTAGGAGTGGCTGAGGGCAGGCAGGCAATACTATAGGCTCTCCTGAGCTCTTAGGGACAGAGGTGAGGAAAAAGGATGGACAGGACAGAGCAGAAGGGCTCTGGGGAGGCAGGACAGGTTAAGACTCGGTGGGATCACAGCAACAACCTAACAGTCTCCTAATTTTGCCATTGCCTCCCATGCTCCAGTCTGTTCTCCATATGCAGCCAGATTTATCTTAAAACACAAAGCAGACCACATCACCTGTCTGTATATCCTTACCTCAAGGCCTTTCCCTGTCCCCTTGCCTGGAAAGTGATGATCTCTCCTTAAACACCCCTCTGCAGAGGTCTCTCCTACAGCCCCAAAACCCGTCCTTTCATTTGTGCTCTTTTTCTTTGTAAAACATACTCCTCCTGACATAGACATATAAGCTCCATGACAGCAGAGTTTAGGTCACTATGGTATCCTGGAGTATGTTCTTGTGTGTTTTCATGCTCAGTAAGTAACTGTGGACTAAGCGAAAGACTGGGGAGAGGGTTGGTAAAGACAGCAGGAAGGTTTACTCCTGGCTTTTGAAACGGGGAACAGTGTGGTAGTTATGGCATACCAAGGACAATGGCTGAGAAGGAACCATGTGTGTATGAAGGCCCAACAGCCAGGGCTGGCTTCTGCTGCAAGAGACTGCATGCTTTCCATCCCCTGGGGAAGTTAGTTACCCAAGGACAACAGGAAAGGTGACACTTGTGAACATGTCCAGAAGTTCCCCTGACCAAGGCCTCACTGTGTCTGCGGGCATGAAAGGCCACGCTATCCTGCCTGGGCTGCTTAACAGATAGCGAATAAATTTAAAAATTTAAAAAAAAAAAAAAAAATTTTTATTAAAATATAAAAAAAAAAGAGACTAAGACCCATAAACCCTCTACAGGCTTAGGGGACCGCTGTGATGCCCCTCCTCCTATACCCCATGAGAAGAATGCTCCCAACCTGCAGTCAGGTAGGCTAAAGGGGATGGAAGTATATGTGGGAGGGAGAGGGAAGAGGGAGGAGTGTCCATGCTGCTGGAGTAGACGCCTTCCACCTGCATCTCTGGGTGGCAACTGGGGGTAGGCAGCACTCACGTCCTCTGTGGCTCCTGGGCACTCAGAGAAAGGACTTTAACCTCATGAGGCCTACGGGAGGCCTTCGCCATCTGCTGCCTTCACCATCACTCTACTATTCACACCTACTTTTCTTCCATGGCCACTCAAAAGAGGGACAGAACTAAGGGGAAGATGGAACAGGGAGAAGCCACCAGCCCCCTGCTCTGCCACATGGACACTGCTGCCTTTTTGCCTCAAAGATGTACACACTCATATGTTTTCATCCCAGGCCATCTGCCATGAGCGCCTGTCCCAGGCTCTATTTCTCCCTATCCTCACCATAGCCTGGCCAAGGCCTACTTACACCTGAAATAAGGCATGTGTGAGAGAAGGTGCTTTGCTCAGTAATACTTGAGTTATTGTAATATTTAATTGCCCATTTGGTTGTTACAGAAAAAATCTTAACTGTAATAATGACTGTTGATGTAATAGTATAACACCTGTATTTCTATATCTTGTAATGGGCTTTATATGCTAGATGTTAATGCCCTTGACCTTGGGCAAAGGCACGACCCTTTTTAAAAGAAACATGGTTTACTTGCACAAAACTGATCAGTTTTTAGAGATCCTTGAAATAGTTTTTGTGGGTGTGAAGCAAATGGCGAGAATATGAATTGGTCTCTCTTTTCATAGTATTGAAATTAAGTCTACTTAATTTACCAAGTCATACTCATGCCCTGATTTTATGTACTTTTATCTATCAATAAACATTATGATACTCGAAAAAAAAGTGGGCCAAGGGTTCTGGCCGGGCACAGCAGGTGCTCAGAGCCCCACTAGGGAAGGCTATGAAGTGGACAGCAGCTAGAAGCCCAGCCAGAATGTGGTATTCTACTGTCTGGAGCAGTAGTTGCCAGCCCAAATCTGTCCATTTATCCACCCAGCCACGGCAGCCAGCTGAGTCTCCTTCTTAGGCAATGAGACTTCTTCTCCTCCAGCTCACCGCTGGGCCTGGAGGCCAGGCCAGATGTATAGGACCGAAACCTCTTGGCAGGGTCCCTCATGCCAACTCTACTCTCCAGGACAGTGAGTACCAGCCCTGGACCCTAGCCCAGCCTCTTGACTCTAACCCTCTAAAGTATCCAGAGGCTGGGCTTCCCCCAGGTGTCTTTGCACATGCCACCAGGAGGCTTCCCTGAGTGCCATCACTGTTACCCCCAACTCTAGCCTCTCTAGGTCTCCTGCAGTGTGCAACTTCCTCTGCCCCAGCCTCCACCTTTGCTCCACATGGCTTCTCTCCCCAGAAAGGTTTGTTCAATTTCTCCACCATCAAGTACCCTCTCCCCTCTCCAGCCCCAATGACTCCATCTAACACCTAGAACTGGTCAGTATTCATCTCTCCTTTAGCCTGCTGAGTACTCAGCACCCTGCCAGGAGCAATCTGTGTGCCTGAACTCAGAGAGAACATGAAACTCATCCAGAGTACCATAGTTAGGCATGGAGAGGCCAGGGGTCAATCAGACCTGGTGGATTCTATCCATCTGCAACTCTGGTCTCCTTCCCTCCCTGCTCTTTACATCCTTGACCACATTCTCCATAGCCCTTGGCCCAGAATGAGCCTTTCAAATATGGATCCAGCTACCCAGACACACTTTAGTCCCAAAAGAGCTGGCAGGTGGCAGAGAGGTAAGAGAGGCCAAGGAATGCTACCTCACTGACCTCTAAGGCAGCCTAGACAGTCAGGATAGAGACCTTGGACTGCCATGACTCATGGACGAGCCCCTCTGGCATCGCTTGTGGCATCAGCCATTCCTTGAGAAGCTAAGAATGTGTGCATTTGAATAAGAGGGGCAAAGTTGAGGGTGGGCTCGCCTTTGCATGCCCCCCAGCCGCTGGGGCTTAGCAAAGGCCTTAAAGCAAACACCCCTGCCTTGGCTGCTGCTTTCTGCTGACGCTGCATCTGAGGAAGCCACAGCCCCTAGCACTGCTGGAACACAGACAGCTGGGTGGTTTCTGCTGGCGTTTGTCAGATCAGAGCAAACCCGGGAGACTCTACCAAGAATCCTGCCCAAGGCCTGGGAGTCTTCCTTACCAGGAAACTCATTTTTAAAAGCCCCCAGGGACGATGTCAAAGGGCTGTTCCAGACCACTTTCCTGAGCCAAGCCCCGTGTCTCCCTGTGACCCAGGGAAAGGTGACAGCCTGCCAACCAGGAAGATGACTTGGATCACTCAGATCGGCCCACACAGGGCTTCTGAACCAGCTCTGACCCTGTTTGAGAAACCTGGCGCCCAGGCCCAATGGCTGGCAGCCCCAAGCCCTTTAGACAGTCCTCAGGGCTGGGACAAGGTCCATTAGAAACCTCCCCCCACACCCCCAGCTTCCTGCTCAATCTGAGGGATGCAAGGAGGAGGGGGTGGGACTGGGGTTGGGGGGGGCGGTGGGGATCCAAGCACAGGAGAGGCCTGGAACTTGTTGAGAGCTTCGTGGGAGACCTGGCCACCCAGCCCTGGCCCAGCCCCCAAGGGCAGCCGAGGACGCCAAGGGCTATGAGAAGGCATGGGCTAGTTCTGTTCTGTGCCCTGAGCTCAGCAGCCTGACAGCCTCTGTGATGGCCCCTGAGAGTCCCAGACGTGCCTGGGCTGAGGCATGAGCAGTGTCCTGGTTAGCACAGACTCGAGGGACGGCTCTGGTCTACCCACAAGCCCAGCTGTCTACCCCAAATCCTCCCATCCCTGGCCCAAAACCAGGAATGTCTGGTCAACTTGGGATCTCTCACAGCAAAAGACTTCCTCAGATGCTGATTTCTCACGTCCAAGAAGATGCTGTTGCTATCAAGAAGTTAGCTCCGCAGTCTGACCTACATCCCTCCGCAAAGGAAGCTGACCAACTCAGCTTTCCAGTGCCTCCAGACTTCCCTGAGGGCCTTGGGCCTGCTCCTCAGCACCCCTCACCGACCTAGGACCTTCTCAGACTTTCTCTGCTTCCCAGTGTTGCCTGTCCTGATGTTCTGGGGACTCTCTCCCCAACTCCATCTCCTGGCGCCTCCCAGGTCTCCTCACCACCACAGTGGCCTTTTGCTGGCTTCCTGCCCCAAATTGTGGCTCCCTGCTTCCAAGTCCACTCTCCACCAGAGTGAAGTCTTCAAACATGTCATTATCACTTTTAGCCAGAAGCCTCTGTGGCCCCAGAACTAGAGCCCTGCCTCCTCCCTACGGCTTGTGAGACCCCATGCCCTCAATCCTAGTACTGCCTCAGCCTCAGCCCCTGACTTTGGGCCCTACCAGTGCTATTCT